CGTTTTTGGGGAGTGTCGCTGGCGGCACGACTACTCGCATCGACGTCCTCTTCTTCCTGGTGGCAGCGAACGTCATCGGGTTGATCGGCACTGCTTCCTTCCTGCACGGCATCAAGCGGGACGACTACAACAACAAGCGCTATGTCAACTAGCGCAACCGGCACTGGTGCCGCTGGGTATATCTCTAATCTCCATCATTTAGTAAGATTTTGCGTTAGAATATTGCTGGTTAGTGTCATATACATGGCGTTTATGTTTAGAACAAACAAGCGCATATGTGATGTCACCAATATTATTGTCATGATTATTTTCTAGATTAAATTGCTGCTGAATTTGCCTAATTATTTAACAGTTCCAGTGGAGTTTATATAAAGATAAATGGGTTTTGTGCGGTTGTCGTAGTATAGCCATAGAAATTGAGCAGCAATAAGCTCAGTTACTGCTGGAACAATCTGCCTGTATAACAAATTAACAATGACACTGAATGTTACCACTTGTTGATTCAAACCTCAAAATATTACTGATTACAAAATGAGGTAGAAAGTTGATCTCGCATTCCAAGAAAATAATTCAAGAGTCCAGTAGCAATGATGACAAATCTGGAGCAGAGCTTCTCATTCTTCTATATCCTCTCCCTCCTCTGCCCATGCTCATGCTGCCCCCCATGCCCATACCCATGCTGTAACTTGCAGGGCCCTCATGCATGCGTGACAAAGGTGTACATACCAAATTCATCGTAACTCCTAGCAGCATAAACGCTTTCCTAAAGTTCACAGGGAAAATACCATCTCAATTTTGTTACATTGATGTAACGGAATGAACTTGATGAAATAGAAATGGGAAGGGCTCTATACAACACCACTAACCTCTGTAACTTTCTGGGATGATTATAAGGATTATCGTCATCCATAATCTGTGCAGGACTTAATCCATAAAGGAATTGAGGAAATTCTTGTAATTATCCATCACTGACAGAGGACATAATACTTTAAAGTGGTGCAAAACAAATAGCTGGTACAGAAGATTTGATTGACAAGATAAAGAAGCAGATCAAAGAAATTGGAATAACCCTCACCACCTAAACCTAAACTGTTGTGGCCGCTACACAAATTATGCACGTGTAAAACATGTAGAGCTTGATGAATCTTTTTTCTCCAAGCATTCGAGAGGTGTTTAGGAAGACAAAATAGGTCCTCCGGTGCATAGTCATTTTTTATTCGAGAACGTGCTCGGCACGTATTTCATTAAGCAGAGAATAAGAGTTTCGTTACACTGCAACAGTAATCCAAAGATTACCGTTGGACATCCCGGAACCGGCTCGCACGTGGTTGTAATTACATAAAGATATCAGTCGCGACTAAGAAGGGGAACCGACTCAAACCGCACGCCAAAGCGAGTCCAGGGCCCCCAAGTGCCGGTAGCCTGCCGCAATCCACATGGTGACCTCGTCCTCGATAGTCTAGAGCAGCTGCGGTACTGACCTTGGCGTCCCATTGAAGGTTCTTGCATTTCTTTCCTTCCACAACGTCCATCCAACGAGGAAGAACAACGAATCGAAACCGCGGCGAATTGGTTTGGGCAGGCGTCTCCTAGAGTCAGTCCACCACACCATAATGTCACCTTCCTGAATAAGCACTAAGTCCCTGCATACGAAAGCTTCTCAGGCATGCTGACCACACTTCCTTGCTGAAAATGCAGCCCAGGATGATGTGATCCATCGTCTCCACCACTTGGTCGCAACTCGCAAATGATGCACATGTAGCTATATTGTAACCCATGGCGCCATCTCCTATGGGCCGTCCAGCACCTTCCGTGCATAACAAGCCAAAAGAATAGCTTGATACGCGGCAGCGCCGAAGCCTTCCAAAGCTGTCTTGCGCCAAGCGGTCTCGAGCAACCAACAAACATTGCCCCATAGGCCGACGATGCCGAGTACTGCTGATCGGCCGTCAGCCTCCAAGCGAAGGTGTCCGGAACACCTGGCGAGAGCTGAACCTGCTCCAGCATGTTGCCAAGGCCAATGGACTCCGTGAGCAGCCTCATAGTACGCGGACATGTGACGTGATGCACCGCAATGGTGACACCCCACTTGCTCTTTGGAACAGCCGCGAACACCGCGGGGGCCAGGTAGCGAATGCTCTTCCCCTTGAGCCAATTATCTGTCCAGAAGAGCGTTGATTAGCCATTGCCCAAAACTGATACAGTGGCCGCTCTGAAGAGGTCCGCCACCGCTCGCTCCTCGGAATCAGGCAATGCTCGCCACGTGCGATCATGATCGACCCGACGAAGCCACGGCCACCGGACCCGTAGAGCAACCCCGGTCCGCCGGAGGTCTGCCACCCCCAGCCCGCCAAGATCACAAGGTCTGCAGACAAACTCCCAAGCAATCTTGCAACGCCCACCAGACACAGAGGAGGCGCCACACCAGATGAAAGCTCGGCGAAGCTTGTCGATACACTCAATTGCCCACGAGGACAAACACAGCGTAATCGCCATGTGAACTGGGATTGCCGACAGAGTGCACTTGACTAGCATCGTTCTCCCGGCAATGTTCAGCAAGTTTCCTTTCCACAGAGGTATACGGGAAGCGACGACGTCAATGAGCGCCTGCTCCTCGCCCTTCTTCAATTTAAAAATGGACAGTGGGATGCCCAGGTAGCGACTAGGGAATCCCTCAATCCGACAGGAGAGGATCTGTTGCACCCTTGCAATATCTTCATCACTGCAGTGCAAAGGTGTTGCCACGCTCTTGTCCAAGTTGGCAAAAAGACGAGACGCTAAGTCAAAAATTTGCAGTGTTGATTTGAGCACCCTCAGGTCCTGATCGATGGGAGCCACAAAGAGGACCAGGTCATCTGCATACAAGCTGACCCGCTGCACAGCCCCAGCCACGCCAAGCTGTGCAAGAAGGCCCTCACCGTCAAGCCAGCGAACAGTGTGGTTGATGACCTCCATTACCAACACAAAAAGCATCAGTGACAAAGGATCTCCCTAGCGCAAACCCCTAGCATGGCAGATCCTTCTACCAACCACGCCATTTAGCAGGATCTTGGTACTCTTGCCGTTCCAAGAATGGCAGAAATCCAATTCCTCCAGTGCCTGCCGAACCCATATGTTGTAACACTTCAAGCAAGAAAGTCCAAGACACAGAATCGAACGCCTTCGCGATATCGATTTTGAGCAGCACACTCCACTACTAGAGAAACGGGTTTTAGTCCCGGTTGGAAAGGCCCTTTAGTCCCGGTTTTCCCAACCGGGACTAAATTCCCGGGACTAAAGGTCCACACCTTTAGTCCCGGGTCTGGGAGCCGGGACTAAAGGTCACCCACGGAAGAAAAAAATAAAGAAAATCCTCGAGGCCTCGCTTGCTCTACGTGAGATTCGAACCCAACACATCTCTCCTCGCGCGTAGGTACATTACCAACTCAACTGCACACCACTTGTGACAGAGTAATGTGCGCTCTCCTTTTGAATAGACTCATGGGAGACCTTTAGTCCCGGGTAAAAGACATTTAGTCCCGGTTGAAGACACCAACCGGGACTAAAAGGTCACCCTTTAGTCCCGGTTGGTGTTACCAACCGGGACTAAAAGTTGGTGAACTTTTACTCCGGGTTGCGACGGACATGGCTGTACTCAGCCATACCCTTGTGTACCTTATAGTTGGTACAAAGGGCTGTATAAATACCTCACCATATGATTGAAAGGGCAGTTCAGTTGCCTCATTCAGAAGCAGAGCTTCGGCCAGGGCTGTTGCTGTGTTGTGTGTGTGTGAGAGAGTTGAGCTCAGGGTCTTCTTCTACCTTTAGCCGGTTGAGTGGAGTGTGGGTAAGCTAGCTGCTTACCTGTGCTGTGATTGTAGCAAAGTTTTAAATAGCGGGCTAAGCCCCTTAGCGGCTGCCTCTCCAAAAAGCTAAGAAAGGCTATAGCAGGCTAAGCCATTTAGTGGCTGAGCAAAAAATATATCAAATATCAGGTAATTTTGCACATAATAAACATAGAAGATGAAGACATTACAAATACCAATTACCAAGTAGGGACAGATAGTTCAAAGTCTTAATAACACATTAGATCACAGGTTCATAATTCATACATCACATAGACACATACACACATGAGTTCATACAACGTTGACAGACATTACACTGCATATGAACTAAACAGTGACAGATAGACAAACAAACATAAGGGCATGGAGCCATAGGCCGTAGTGGCATAGCCTGATACATCAGTACATCACACATGCATTTCAGCATCTGGGTAGTTTGTTGTACTCACCTAATCATCTTCATTATCAGTAGATACCATAGCATCTTGATTTTCCTCTGATTCAGAAGTAGAGGCTGCAGAGTGCAGACTGAGGTTTCATCAGAGATGCCACAGTCCTGAATTTCTTCCTATGGCGCACAGGCCTTTTTCTTTTGGCTTTTGCTTGAGATGCTGCTGCTCCCTGTGATGCTCCTTCTTGTGCTTTTGCTGATGTTTCTGCACATCCCTGATCTTCTTGACTTTGACTTGCACTTGGTTCTAATCCAGTAACTCATTGTTGTCATCCTCCAGCACATCATTAATTTCCTTCTTTATGGGATCTCTACTCTTATTCTGTTTCTTATGCCTTAGTTTGGAGTTAAATTTGACAAATACAAGGTCTCTCATTCTTTCATGAAGTAGTCTGTTGCGCCTTTTTGTGTGCACCTAGTTTTGTTTAGATGAATAAAATTAAAGGAATGAACAATGATGCAAAATATATTCATGTAGGCGAGTTGTGGAAGTAGAAATATTTTTCTTACCTGTCCAAATACTGACCAATTCCTCTCACAACCAGAGGAGCTACATGTCAAACTTAGAATCTTTATTGCTAACAACCTCAAATTAGGTGTAGCTGTGCCATGATTCAGCCACCATGTCGCTGCATGAACAAGCAAAGAGTTAAACTCTTGTAGGATAGCAAAAAGGATTATATTGGATAGTTCATCAATCACATTAGTTTCACAATTTTCACCTAGGTTAAAGTCCTTATTTCTCCTCCGCCTTGTGGCAATGTCATGTCCAAATGACCCTTGCTGTTCCGTATATTGCTGAGGTCTTCAATGATATTATCTTGAATTTCTTCATCATCAATCAGCGTCGTAACACATTCAATTACAGCAGCTCTAAATGAGCTATTATTCTCAATGTCTGCCTTGTTTGGATAGTAATAATAAGGGTTCAAATAGTACCCAGCCAAGTGTAGTGGACTCTTCAGCTTGCTGTCCCACCTTTTGTCAATTATTTCCCAAACAGGTTTGTATCTTGTCTTATCATTGTCAAACCTCAAAGCAATTTCTTTCTTTGCCTCAAGCATATATCCATGCAAAAATCCCATTGCAGGCACATCACTATCCATTCTTCTCACCACATTAGCCAATGGCTCAAAAAAATTAACAGCACTATCAATATTTTTCCAAACAGATTTCACCACTTTTTCCACCTTCTTCCCCTTGGCACTCTTCAAGTAACCCATCTCATTGAGATCATTATCTCTGAAGAGCCTTTCGAGCTCCTTCTTGTTGTCTTGCAAACTCTTTAGATTCAAATAAGCAGTGGCAAATCCAGTAACTCCAGAGCGAACCAAGTCCTTACCAAGATATTTTCTCATCAAATCAAGCACCCTTGTATGAGCATAGAGAAATGCAGTCACTTGTCTTGCACTTGCAATTGTTTCCTGAACTGGTTCAAGCCTCCCAATGTCCTCCAACATGAGATCTAGGCAGTGAGCTGCACATCCATTCCAAAATATTTTGGGTCTCTTTGCTGCTAGAAGACTTGCTGCTGCTACATTAACACTAGCATTGTCAGTGACCACTTGGACAACATTTTCCTCTCCTATGTCTTCAATGCATCTATCCACAAGGTCAAAGATGTATTTACCATTTTTCTTGACAGCAGAGCAGTCCACAGAATCCAAAAAAAGGACCCCATGAGCACTATGCACGACTAAATTCGTTACTCCCCTACCCTTCTTATCTGTCCATGCATCTGTCATAAGTGTACAACCTGAGGTTTTCCATGATTCCTCATGGCTCTTGAATCCATCCAACACCTTCTGTTTCCTTTTCTGCAAAAATGGTCCACTCATCTCATAGGGACTAGGCCCTCTCAAACCTCTACCAAAGGCTCCAATGGCCTCAACCATATTGGCAAAGCTAGGAAGAAGGACCGTATTGTGTGCAATGCTAGCTTCATAAAAGAACTGACATATATACTAACAAGCTCTATCCCTCCTCTCTTCTCTTTTCTGAGTTGTTAACTTTGTTTGAACCTTTTGGCTGACGTTAGCTCCTTTCTGATTCTTCTGAACAACCTCTTCTATAGAAGCTGGCTTGTAGAACTTCTCAATAGAGCCACTACCCGATGAAGGAACAGCACTGCAACTAGGTCTTTTTGTTGACTTCAGCACAATAACCTCGTTCCCATGGTCAGAGTCTTCACTGCACATTTCACCATCTGAGTGATCCAGATCAATTTCATCTCTGGCCCTTTGCTTTTCCTTTTGATTTTGTTCCTTTTCACTAGTTTTCTTGTTAATCAAAGCTAGCATCTCTTCCTTCACATCGGTCAGACCTTGTCACACTTAGAAACATTGTTGCCACCGAGACGAGCAAGATGGTACTTCACTCTTGTAATTCCAGATCGTCTTCTTACAATAGTTGCACACTATTGAATGCTTCTTCTTCGGGTCTGGGCAGTAACAATGACTCCATGCAGGGTCATCTGAGTTGATAGCAACTCTGGTTGAAGCTGATTGTTCTACTGATTTATTTAGATGCAACACTTGATGGGGCACCTAAGCAACAAAACTAATATGAGATAAAAAAATGTCAAGCTTACTGCAGCAACCAAGAACAGATCTGATACTCTACTTGCTTGATGGGATATATGCCAATTTATTTACAGTAAAATGTAATCCTAAGCCAATGTATTTACAGTAAAGAGTAAACTTAATATCCTATCAACAACAGCAGTAGCGCGCTTAATGCACCAACCTAGAACAGATCTGATACTACACTTTCTTCATGGGATAAATGCCAATTTATTTACAGTAAAGAGTAAGCACTAGCAAGCTGAATGCATGTTGAATCTTTTTGTACTTTTCAGGATACATGAGCTGCACACAGATGAAAATAAAAGTCCTTCCGGAGATGGTGGCGAAAACTACGGAGAAGATGATTCTGATGGATCTAGTGAGGCCCTTCCAAGAGAGAGAGATGTGCTTTTAGCATGCGAAAAGGGCTCATTAGAGGATTTAGAGGTATCAAGCTATTTCTAGATTATGTTTATATGTGTTACGTGGGTATTTATTAGTTTTCTATGTGTCGTACAGAAATTGTTTGAGCTAGGACCTAACCTTGGTGATGGAAGAGCTTTGTGCGTTGCAGTGTCTCTTAAACAATTGCATGAAAAAGGTAAATATTTCACTTTGCTTATGTTGTATTCAACAAATAAATAATATCTACATTTATATTTGCTAGAGGGTAGACCAGGCAAAACCATAGTACAATCGTTGCTTGGATATGGTATTAATCTTTCCTATAAGGATGATCTGGGGCAGAACCCTCTCCACATCGCTGCTGGGATGAATGACGTCGAAGTAGTGAACGTAAGGATTTAGTGAATGAAAGTGGTGTTTTTAGTTCTTTTTAATCATATTATGATGTTTTGATTAATTTTTGACAGATTCTTATGAACGCTGGAGCAAATGTAAACATAAGGAATATTGAAAATGAGATACCAATTCATGTTGCACTGAAAAACTGTGCGGGACTACCGTGTATTGAAACTCTACTACAGAGGGGGGCAAGTCATACTCTGCAGGTAATTGATACTACAACAAATCAGGGCTTTATTTTCTTTCCTGCTTCCTAATCCTTTTGTACAAAAGCATGTACAATCAATATTAAGAAATTTTACTAGAGGGACAAACAATGTGAAAGCACTACCCAAGACAAGGTTATCTTGGGGCGTATATTTTGAACCTACATCAGTACCTCCAATGCCTTTGATGATTTTTGTAGCATAAAACAATAGATAAATGCAAAGTGCTAGAAATGAGTTCTTTATCTGTACGTTTCGACCTTCTTTTTACTTAGTGCCTGAAGTATATTTCATTTACATGCTATTTTAGCTTGATAACTTAAGTTGCCTTTTAAATTTGTGCTGCTGGTTAATCAGGATAATGATGGAAACAACGCATTGCACATTGCTGCTCAAGCAGCCCTGAGCTGTAAAAACCTGGATGCAATGTCTATGATGTTAAAATTCCATGGTTCTAGTGCCCCTCCAGCTGTCAATGCAAAGAACTACAGGCAAGTAACAACATGAGTTGAAAGATGATTCTTGGTTTCTTTAGTAATAATTAAATTTTGTCTTGATTTTTTTCGGAAGGCTTTTTTGCAATCCCATTTGTACCATTTTTTCGGAAGGCTTTTTTGCACTCATTTATACTTATAAAGTGCAGGGGCTATACTCTTGAAGATCTTTTGAAGAGACTACCAAAAAACATGATTTCTCAAGAACTGAAGAGTATACTGGAAAAGGAAGGAATTGATCTGCATGGAGAGGGTGACTCAGCCTGGGCAGTTTTTCACCGAAAACCGAATACCGAACCGAACCGAACCGAAACCGAACCGAATAGTCGGTAGTTCGGTTTTTCGGTTCGGTTTCGGTTTCCAGTTCTGTGAAGTTCGGTAGTTCGGTTCGGTTTCGGTTTCTATGCCATACCGAACCGAAAAACCGAACTACCGATAAACCTATTTTTTTCCTGTTGTTTATCAAAACTGATGGAGTACTGTGGTTTATTATCAAGAATGAACTGTAAATTTGTAATATTTGATTTGAGCATTGAATTGTTAAGTTTGTAACAGTCTTGAGTCTTCAAATAATATACTGTGCTGTGCAAGTTTGTACTGTGTTGTGCTGTCAGTTCTAAATCCTATCTGATATTCGGTTTATTCGGTTTTAACCGAAAAACCGAATTAAAAAACCGAACCGAAATTGGTCGGTTTTTGAAATTTTAGCAAACCGATCGGGAGTCATTTTCTAGAAACCGAAATTTTGAAAAACCAAAAAAACCGAACCGAACGGTCGGTTAAAACCGAACGCCCAGGATGAAGGGTGACAGTCTGGAAGGTGAGCGGGACCAGAGTGATTCAGGTCCGCATGGAAAGCACAATGCATTGGATATAGCTGACCTAGAAGATGCTGACATGGCTGGTGGCATTAAGTCTCTAGATTGTACGTTGATATTAACAGAAGGACAGACTGCCAAGAAGTTTGCTGTGAGTTAAATTTATCGTGAAGTTTTAAATTTTTAATTTAATCTAGCTAGCCCCAACTTGCTTGTTACTATTATTTTTGGGAAAATTGGTTGTGTAGCATCGAAAGATCGCGATCTCTATAAAATACCACCGAAAGGTTGGACTCTAAACTGAATATAGCATTCTGTTAAAATGAACAGAAGGAGCTGTTAACTGGGACAAAAATACCCCCAGTGAGAAACAAATAAACAACAGCCACTTATCAATATAAGCACACACAAATGAGCACGTACAATTGCATTCCAGCAGCCACAGTAGCAATATAAGCACATTCCAGCACATATGAGCACGTACATTCACAGCAGCCACTTATCGACAACCATTTCTCATGGGGAGCAATTAGACATGCACCGAACACTTAAAAGTAGAGGACAGGTTTCAATAGAGTACTAGTTTAGACATAGCAAAGGGGACATGTCTGCTAACACATATAGTAGTTCTTCACATGCATCCATAGTCTAACTAGAACACTACAGTAATGTCACATAGCATTTGCACTAACAAAGCCATTGCTTAGCCTATGATAATCCTTCCTTCCTCCTGGGGATATGTCTGCTGCTGCCCTGCTCCTTGTTGTAGCTCCTGGACTGATAGGACTACAAGTAGAAGCTGCCATCCTTCTAGTTATTGGCCCTGGACTAACGGTTGTGTGACTAAGGAAGTAGAAGGTGCAGATTCTTTCTTGGATTTTTTTGGAGCTTTTTTGGAGCTAGATGTACTGCCTTTTCTTTCCTTTTCCTACACAACAGAAAGGTATCAGCCATACTTAATAAAAGATCATATTACAGTGAAAGTGAGAGGAGGTCAATTTACCTTGAATTACTAGGAGCTGCTGGTGGCATTTCAATAGCAAGTTCAGTAGGGTGCAACCAGCAAGAAATCCATTCACACATGCTTTGATGGCCACAAACATCCTACAGAAATAGACTCGACCATCCTTTTTGTTCTTCCTACAATCAATCTCTACTATGCTTCCAGGACATGTAGCTTCTAACTCGCCTTTGAAACTCCACAACATTCTAAAACTTTCGTCCCAAGTGCCATGTAGGCCTTTTAGTGCAAGTTGCCTTCATTCCCACACCTTATTATATGACATTTTGATCGGGAACCGTCTTTCAAGCTCAATTTGCAATTTCTTTGCTCCCAATTCTAGAGTAGTCTTGAGTACCTCTGTTGCTCTGTCAGCAATCCAGGCTTTGCTAGCCTCCTTACCCCTCACTTGGCTGGTGCTAGCACAGGTATGTGTCGATGTTTTACCACCGATAGCCTGCCACAGGGGTACCGTGGCAGTATAGTTCGGGCTTCGGCGTATGCTGAACTCGATGGTAAACGCAAGAGACAGTCGATTTATCCTGGTTCAGGCCCTCGATCGAAGATCGAGTAACAACCCTACGTCCAGTCGGCGTTTGCCTTTTGCGTTGGATTGATTATGAAGTGTTATGTCGTACCCCCGTTGTCAGGAGCCCTGCCCTCCTTTATATAGTCAGGAGGCCAGAGTCCTAATCGGTTTACAATGAGATTTCCTAGTAGGATTACTTAATAGTTCTATTACTAAGATTACATGGGAAGAATCCTAGTTGAACTAGATCTTCTCTCTCTCTTGCGGGGTATCCTGTGGGTCCTGCATCGACAAGCCCCCAAGTACTTCATGGTTGAGCTCTGAAAGTCTCGCTTTGCTCCTTCAAGTCTTGTTAGGTAGGAACAAAATGTTATCCGAGTGCTTTCTGGAGTGAAACCTTGTAGCGCTTCTTGGGACCTTCGAGTGGTGAGTGTTTTGTGAAGAAAAAGTACATCCATCTGGTTGTAGCCCCGAGCCTCT